TCACACACAGCCTGGTGATGTCTTCAGTCAGCCCTTGGTGTCCACACTCCTGTTCACACACAGCCTGGTGATGTCTTCAGTCAGCCCTTGGTGTCACACATTTCCTGTTCACACACAGCCTGGTGATGTCTTCAGACAGCACCTGGTGTTCACAGATTCTGTACCTGAAGTTTCAGCCAGTCATAGATCAAAAATACTCATGGGGAGCCAGATGGTAGTGGTACATGCTTTTAATCCCAGCACTGGCGAGGCAGAGGCCAGTACATCTCTGTGAGTTCCAGGCCAGTCAGAACTGTTACACAAAGAAACCATCTCGAAAAAAAGAGTAATACTCATGGGGAAATTTGCATTTGTCCTGAATACATAAAGACATTTTCCTTTTCTTTCTTTTTCCCAGGCAGTGTAGTGAGTGTTTACTGTATCTCTTACAGTGTTCTTTTGTCAAAAATCAGTTGAAAGCTGGCCAGGTACAGTGAAGTGGACTTGTAGTCTCAGCTGTTTAGAAGGATCACATGAGTCCAAGAGTTCAAGACTGTGCAGGGCAACATGGGAAGGTTCCAGACTCAAAAAAAGAAAGAAAGAAAAAAAAACAAACCAAAAAGTCTGTTGGGAACGTTTGTGTAGGTCTATTTCTGAGTCCTCCTCTGTTTTTAGTGAATCTGTCTGCCCGTCTGCCAGCAGCACACAATATGGAATACTCTGGCTGTGTAGTAGCTCTGGAAATCAGAGTCCTCCTCTCCTGTCCTACTTTTTCAAAATTGTCTTAGCCTATGGGGCTTCATCTGCCTTCTCATTTGCTGGCACTTAAATGTGCCCTACACCAGCTAAGCATTAAATCTTGGCTGAATTTTGTTTCTGTCTGTTTGTGTTTTGTTGTGTGAGACAGGATCTCACTATGTAGCCCTGAATGGCCTGGAACTCACTGTTTGGCCAGGCTGGCCTTGAACTCATAAAGGAACCACCTACCTTCCTGCTGGGCATTTATTTTATTTTTTCCCTGTCTCTTTATTTATCTGTACACAACTCCTTGCCTTCTGGTTTGGTGAAGCCACAGGAGTGTCTGTCAAAGTGACCAGCCATGGAAACCCCAGCACCACACTCATCAGAAGGACGCTCTGGACGAAGGCGGCTGATTCCGCCCTCCCGTCCATCTTACAGGGCTTCCGCACAGCCAGCTTAGCCTTTTTCTGTTGTGCTCCTCCTCCTCCTCTTCCCCCTCCTCCTCCTCTTCCTTCCTCCTCCTCCTCTTCCCCCTCCTCCTCCTCCTCCTTCTCCTCCTCTTCCTCCTCCTTCTTCTTCTTGGGAGTGGTGTAAGAGTTCTTCCTTTTCTTGGTACAACCACAAAGTCTCAGCACAAGGTGAAGGGGGGACTCCTCTTGAATATTGTCGTCAGACTCAGTGCGGCCACCTTCCAGCTGCTCACCAGCAAAGATCAGGAGGAATTCCTTCCTTATCCTGGATCTTGGCCTTTACATTTTCTATAGTGTCCGAGGCTTCAACCTTGAGCGTGATGGTTTTCCCTGTAAGGGTCTTCGTGAAAATCTGCATCTTGCTGGGAGGTGGTGGCACTCGCCTTTAATCCCAGCACTCAGGCAGAGCCAAGCAGATCTCTGTGAGTTCGAGGCCAGCCTGGTCTACAGAGCAAGATCCAGGACAGGCACCAAAACTACACAGAGAAACCCTGTCT